ACTAGCCGGCCGCGGCAGCTGCGGCACCCGGGGGAGATGAATGCGGCAGCTTCTGACCGCGGCGGCTCCTCCCCCTTCTGCCTCCCTCCCAGAGTAGGCCGACCGGCTTGGGTGAAACCTCCGTGCCCAGCAGCCAAAAGCAGCCCGGTTCGGCGAGCTCCACCAGGACTGCTCCTGGGGCGCTAGGTAAGTCTCCGCGGCTGCTAAGTACAGGAAGCCGGGCGAAAGCGCCGAGCTCATCTTGGAGGGTGGGCGGGCGAGAGGGAGGGACTGCAACCGCGCCGCTGTCCCCGGGACGGATGGGAATAATGCTCGGGCACCTGCAGAACTGCTCAGCAGGAGGAAGGGGTCCTTTTTCCCGGCCGAGGCGCCCATCCCTCGGCCGCGCTCGCCTCCCTCCTACCCACCCCGTTGGCCCCGCGCTGTCTATGTATCTTCACCGCTCTTTTTTCTTAATGGCTTGTCATATAAAATATTCAAGCTCTAGTATCTCACTCGGTAATTGGCCTCGGATTCGACGTCTCGAAAAGGGAAAGGAGCGAGCCGCCTCCGAAGAGGTTAAATGGAGGACCAGTCATCTGCTTAACTTAAAAAAAAAGGGACGAAAACTACAGTATATGTAGGCATTACTTCTTAAAGGACAAGGGAAAAAGTACCTTTCAAAAAGGGCTCTCCCAGCATCTTGTGCTTCATTCATTTTGTCCTGCTACTCCTATTCCTACCAAACAACTCCTTTTACTTGGGGTTTTGAAGATTATCTTTTGCATATCATTAATTTGGTAAGCATATAAGAGGAAGCAGATGCAGTGACATCATCAGATTTAGCTAGCTTCAGTGGCTCATGAGAACTGCACGTCACAGCACCCCCTTGAATTTCTCAGTGTTCATTAAATTTAATCTTGGAAAGTATATTTTTGTGTGTGTGTCTGTGTATATGTGTGTTTGTGTATGTATATTTTATATGGAACAAAGTGTAGCCTGGAAATGTGAGCTTCCTTCTTATTTTTTAGCCAGCAAATGAGGCCTGGTTATAGTGTGAGTATCTTTTTAAATATACATATATAATAAAAAGTTTATATATCTGTGATATAACTGCAGCAATAAAACCTCTGTACCTGTGTTATGAAGCTTATCTTTATCTATAAACAGAATATTTATCTATCTATCTATCATATTTATATAGCTGCCCATCTCACATAAAAGTGACTCTGGGCAGTGTATATAAAATATATAATTCTATATAGAATAGAGAATTGTACTTAAAGCTTGCATTGCTTGTTGCTTACCACAGGACATTACTTTGAGTAGGTGCTATTAGAAACCTTGTTACAGAGACAAGAAATAGGAAATGAAATGCATTAGGCTCATTATAAAGGAATACGAAAGTTAAAATACTTTACTTCTTTATTACGTATCAGAATAGATCAGTATTTAATGTTAGAAACTGTTATTAGGATGAAACTAGATGTCAATCTGCAAAGAGCAAGAAATTGGAATTATTAGACTGGAACTATTAGATTGTTTCTTAGACCAACAAACCTGTGTATCAACAGTTGACTAGATATATTATGTTTGTTGGAGTATTCTTCTGTACATCTGGGTAGAAATACCTGATCAAAACTATACCAAGTTAAAACTCTTTTTGGTTTTGTTTCCTTCTGGACCAATGACTTGGAGCATAATCCAATCAATGTTAATTTTCTTTTTAAAATTCTACTGTTATCAGTCAGGGAAATTAAAGACCTCATTTAACCCTTTCATTGAAATGAATGAGACTTGAAGCTCCAATTTTACAGTCACTTAACCTGAAGTAATCACATTAGCCTAATATAATTCATTTATTTTAATTAAATTAGGTTTAAATCAAATTTAGTTCTCACCCATTTCCTGCGCAGTCCAACTCTTGAAGTATGGTGCCTGGCATAGACGTTCACGTCCAAATGTTATATTTGGCTCAAAAAGGTTTGCACAGTCCTGCTTTAGGAACAGGGTGCCTTCATTCAAAAGAAACTGAAGCCAGTCCCTGGGATACTTGTCTGATGTCAGGAATAAGGTGAAAAAGAGTGGAGAAAAAGATGGGACTGTTTTACTAAATTTATGCTGTATCTTTCCTCCAGGAGCTTGAGGTGTTATTCTTACAACAGCTCTCTGAGAACAGTAGCTAAGCAAAAAGTCAATTTAACATGTGTGAGCTCCATCATATGCCCCATCATATGAGTATAGGGGTCTCTTGGGGGGCAAGAGGGGATTAGGATTAGTGATTAACTGCATGTCACAGTGCAAGCTCCATCCATTATGCATTTGTGTGTGATATTGTGATGTGATGTTGGAGCTTGCATAATGATGTCATGACACGTTTCATCATTTCATCATCATTGTGGTTAGGGATGGGTGCCTGTGCACATTAGGCTCTTTAACCCAAAACTTAAAAAGAACTAGTTTGGTGTGGTAGTTGAAGCACTAGGTTAGAAACCTGAAGACTGCGAGTCCTAATCCTGCCTTAGGCGCAAAGCCAGCTGGATGACTTTGGGCCAATTGCTCCCACTCAGCCCTAGGAAGAAGGCAATGGAAACCAGTTCTGAAAATGTTGTCAAAAAAAACTGCAAGGACTTCTCCAGGCCATCCCCAGGAGTCAAGACTGACTTACCTCCCCAACCCCAAATCTTACTATGTCTGTACCCAAGTGGCTGCTATTTGGAGTTTATAAAAAACAGAATTTCAAATCTATACCAAACTGGTTCCAAATGTTAATGTCTCTAAGTGCAAAATTGCAGCTGTTCTGGGCTTGGATAAAGTAGTAAAACTTAAGATTTAGTTCAAGAACTGTACATGAGAGCAGGTAAGATAATGGCATGCAAATGTTTGTTACCTGCAATTTTTGGCTTTATGTGTCTTGCAGACATACCATTTGAATGACCCAAATCCCCCACTTACTTTCCCAGCTGAGTTTAGCCTTGGGTCCCTGGTCCTAGTTAAACAGTCTTTACTCTAACGGATTTTGCGCTGTGTCCTGATTCTTAATACATAAGGGTACAAAATAAGGAAACCTAAATATACAGTACTTTATGCTGTTAAATATTTCACAACATAATTATTTTATTAACTGTAGAAACAATGACATGAAATATTGAAATACTGAAATATCCATTGTAGACGCATGTAGGGAGAGCTGGTAAGATGTAGTAGTTAAGGTGTTGGACTGGGACTTTACAAGGTTGTGATGGGGAAAAATTGGAAGAGAGCATGTTGTGTACACTGTCTAGAGCCCCTGAAAGAAAAAGACAATATAATCAAATAATTCATGTTGGATTGCAACCATGATTTCTTATTTCTGCTGGTTTCAGTTGTTTTCGAACTGAATTCTTAAGCAAAGATGATGCACTAGAATAGTATGGCAGGACATAAAGTCATCACTGAGCTGTTTTTATTCAGTGCTTAGGCAAAGCCAATTAAAATGATATGAGACCTGTTGAGATCATTGTAAATCTACATTTCTCTCAGTTGTTGCATTTTGTATGGAAAAGGTTAACTGTTTTCTTAAATTTAATCATACACTGATTATGTTTATACAACATGATTAATTTAGTCATGTCCTCTCTAGTCAATTGACTCACCTCTATGTGCCAACAGTAAATGGTTTGGGAAGACTGAATCAGTCTTATGTTGCTTACTTTTTTAATACTCCTGCCTGCTGTAATTTCCTGTTGTATTTTTTCAATCCACAGTGGTGCAATCAGTTATTGACGCCACCTATCAGTGTTTGCCCTACTGTGGGCAGAATTGGGAGGAGTTATATACTCCTACTTCTCTCAGACCCTTTTCCATCTTTTTTGTGGCTTCAGGAAAAAATAAAGATTATAACAGAGACTAAGTCAGAGTTCATAGAAGAGACACATTTTCACAGGGACTTCTTAAGGCTTTGAATTTGTCTAAGTACCTTGAAGGAACAGTTAAGCTTCTGGTAAGCAGCTTGCATGATATAGTTGATGGAGGCAGGGGGTTACCTTAGCCCCAGATTGAGGCTATTTTGGACCCAAACTAACCCACTCTGAGTTAATTATGGAAGTTTGTTAACTGGTCTAGGATAGTCACATGACTTGCTGATACCTCCCAGACTTAGATAAGCAGATCATCCAAACAGGCATCCATTCTTTTTATATAACTCTGGAGGCTTTTGGAATTACATCTAATATATTTAGGACTAAGAAATAATGCCTATGGAAATTGGAAAGAAAACATTCCATTAGAAAACCTTCCACATTATATCGCATAGGAATATTTGAAGTTCACCTGATTTTAGTAATTCCTGTTGAGCTGTTCAAGGTTTTAAAATCAGTATATTCATATAAGAAAAGCTTACTATGATGAAAGAAAAATGGAAGAATTTAAGGTAAAATGTGTTTTTTGTAAATTATTGGAGTGGTGTGAATTTATTACATTTTAAATTAACTAAAAGGAATAATAGAATTGTGATAGTTGCCTGTAACATTCTATATTTTTCATAGCCGAGATGCCCAGACAATTCCCAAAGTTAAATATGTCTGAGGTTGATGAGTCAGTGAGGCTCTTAGCTGAAAAAGTTTTTGCCAAGGTCCTTCGAGAAGAAGATAGCAAAGATGCCTTGTCACTCTTCACCGTGCCTGAAGATTGTCCTATTGGGCAACAAGAGGCCAAAGAAAGAGAACTTCAGAAGGAGTTGGCAGAACAGCAGTCTTTGGAAACTACTAAAAGGTAGGTTTGATGAGGTGGAAGAATGTTTTAGTAATGAGTGCTGAGGTCTATTAAGAACAGTTGTTAGATACTGTCAGATATAATATGAAGTGTTGTCACTCTCTAATCCTGCCATTGGCTTTTATATGGTTTTAGTATTTTTTGTTGATGTATTCTTGATTGATTGATTACGTGCCATCAAGTTGTTGTCGACTCTTAGTAAACCCTGGTCTTTTATGTCTTCCAATGGTGCACCCATTGCCACTGTAACTAAGTCCATCCACCTTGATGCTGGTTGTCCTTTTCTCTTTTCTGTATATTCTTACTTATTTTATTGTTTATTTATATGAATTCAGTGCCATTCAACTCCAAACCGGCTCTGGTTTATTCAGTTAAACTGAAACGTGGGAAATGTCACTTAGAAATGTAATCCACAAATATACGTAGAAAGTGCTAAAAAGTGAGCAAATCATAAGTCCAATTGATCATACTACTCCTTATGCAGCTGTATGCAAGGATGCATAGGACCCAATTTCATTCTTTTTTTCATCCTGCTTGCAGATACCCATTTGGTGAAGGCGTACTGTGTTTTTTTTAATACTCACTCCTTGACTACTGTGTAATGTCCATACTTGTTTTCCCTAAGGTTCTCTGTCTTCCTCACCAGGAACAGAGGACAAGTAATCAGTGAGCAGCTGTGGAAGGCTGAGACCTAAATATGAAAGATGTTTATGGGCTTTGTAAAATCGGATAAATGGCTCCTTCTGTTTATGTTCTCTTATGTCACAATATTTAGCAAGTTAATTAAACAAAGTATTGCTTTTTAATGTGGGAAAATGACTTCTAAATTCATTCAAACAAGAGTTTTACATTTTAATACTGTCAATCTTGAAATAAGTTTATAAATATTGTTGATTTGATAGATTGAACACTCTGAAATTAAACATTTGTACTGAAACGTCTTGACAGACCTTTTGTCTAACACTCTTGCAGAGTCAATACAGTACCATATTTTACAATCCTTAATCTTTTTTTTTCATAAATACCTTTTTTGAACATTTCTAAGTGCTATATGAGATGGAAATAACATAGTGGATTCATGAAGTAGAAAAATGACCTCTGAATAAAGAAATGTATGTATTATTTTTTAGAAGGTTTCTAAAACAGAGCCTTTTTGTTGTCTTAAATTAATGTCTTATTGACTTAAATATTGTGTACTATGTACATATAGGAAGAAAAGTTTCAAGATGATTCGATCCCAGTCCTTGTCATTACAAATTCCACTGCAAGAATGGAAACCTCCATTGGCTGCTCCAGTTGTGTCTCCTCCTACTCCAGTTCTTCCAGGTGCCTTTCAGCCTATCCAAGGGACATATGATGTACCAGAATTTCAAAGAGTTACAATTAGTGGGGATTATTGTGCTGGGGTAAGCAGACAGACAGATGATGGTGATGATTTTTTAAAATAAATATTGTATGTATTTATTATTATTTTATGATGCTAACGCTTGTGTAGAATTGTTTAAGTAGCCATGGGGATTTTGTCCTGGTCAACAGCTTTGTTGCAGTGAATAAAGATATAATATACTACTATATGTATTCCAAATGATACATTTGGAGTACACAATTTGTCCTGTGGGATTCCTATAGTGGTTAAAGAAAACCTTTTTTCTTCATTCTCTTCTTCCTGCTAATCCTCAATTGGGGGCATGTAGTGCTAAACAACATGACTAGACATTACCTAAAATAGGAGACCCAAGCATACTTTTCATAGCGACATTTATTGGCCTTGCTCCATTTGCAGGATATTACTACTTAGAATAGGAATAGTTATGAAGTTGGAGCCAAATAACTAGATAACTTTATGGAAAATGTCCAGAGGCCCCAACTTCAGGTAATGAATATTATATCTTCACTTGTATGATGGTAGTTGATGTGAAGTAACAGTTTTCATTAAACTGAAAAGATCTCTTCTAACGAGTCTTCAGTAATCAGATATAAGCCTAGACCTGAGTAGAATTTCTTGAACCATTAATTACAGCTAAGGTTCTGGAAATGTGTGTTGCCGTTATTAGCTGAGTCTTAACCACAGTGCTCTTAAAAATTATATTTTAAATCAATGGATTCTGTCTCTGGTTTTCACTGAAGTGATAAATCTTAGCCAGACTGCAGATGGAAGGTGGATAATTAAATACCCATTTGTAAAACATTTTCCCTCAAAATAGTTAATAAGGCATCAGCGAGAAGCATTCTGTCAGAATTTTCTAGTTTTTATGTGCAGGGAATTCCTTTGAATGAGGGAGTATTCCATGAATTGACTCCTACTTGCATTCTTGAGTGATATAGGCAACATGTACACAGCCGCTTCCCCACCCCAGAGCTAGCAGGAAATCATGCTACTCTATATCTTTCTTACCCTCACAGTGTATCCTTACTGTACACCTCCAATAGGTCTCTGCTGCACTGTGTTTATTCAGCCTCAACATGCAGCATTCCAATGGCTGTGATGGGTGGCTATCTCAGCTGAAATTCCAGCCCTGCCTAACATCATCCAGCATGAAAAGTTATTTATTTACTTGTTCAATTTATATGTCTGTCCACTCACTGGTTGACATGTACAACACTCTGACACTGCATTTTTTTTCTTTCCTGTACTGTTGTTGACCAATTGAACTTTTAAAAAATCTTTGAAACTGTGAGTTGACTGGTCAACTGTTTGGCCTATTGTCCACTAGTTAGCAAGAAATGTTAGGCTTTTTGTATCTCTTAGTTTCCATCCACTCAGGGGCAAGTGCTGCTTAGACAGCTGGAATTTGAGAAAAGGTTAGCTGTGAGGATGTGTATAGGAGCTGTAGATTACCCTTAGAACATAACATAAAGAGAAGAAGCAAGGAATCAGGGCTTCCCCAGGACTGCACAGAAAGAGAACTCCCAACCACACAGGCTACAGAAGTACAAGGGCTGAGCCTTTTCAATTACATTGTCCACTAATGCTGTAAGCCAGGGCTTCACGCACTCCAGGTTAATCAGTTAACTGGTTGATCAGTACATTTAAAAAAGAAAAAAAAAGTGGCTGGAGAAGTTCTGGTCTCTCTTGCAGTCAACAGAGGTCTAAGGGATGGGGGAGGAGGAGTCAGGGACCAGATGGGAGGGAATTATTCCATAGGAAACAGGCAGAACTAGTTGGAGCCACAAGATTGCTGACCCAGAGCATGTAATTTCAGAGTACTTCCATGAAGTACACTGATACTCTCTACATTGCCTGGACAGAGTGTCTTGAGGTGGGATGTTAGGGAAAATACCACTTCCAGTGCTTAGTGGTTTAAACTATCCTTGGACAGTGTCAGCTGTGGGAGGACAGTGAGATAGAGGCTATGGCATGTGTTTGGGAAATGGTTAGTGGGCTGTCCTTGCACCCAGCAAGGAGGCTTTGGGGATTTGCCTATAGCCTGGCAGAGGTGTATTGCTTCAAAGAGGAGTATACTTTATTTCCAAATATATTCATTTTGGATTAGGATTATACTTTAATTATTCATTGTATAACTTCTCCCTTTAGGTTACAGTTGATGATTATGAACAAGCTGCCAGAAATTTAGCAAAAGCTTTACTTATTCGAGAGAAGTATTGCCGCTTTGCTTACCATCGTTTTCCAAGGACAACAGCACAATATTTATGCAGTATGAAAAATGAAAAATGGAAAATTGAAGATGAGGTACTCCCAGGTAAATCAGCTCTAGCTAAAAAACAACAACTTTGATCTATGGCCGAGATCCCCCTGTTGTGCTAAGCCATGGCTTCCTTAAACCTTGGTTTGTTAAGCAAAATGTCTTGATCCAAGTCATATTTAACTTTAAAGCATGTCATTTCTTAAAACCGCAGTTCTACTCAATCAAAAGAAATAAAATTATGGATTTTTTCAATATGTAAATCTAGCCATAGATATTTATTTACTTAAGTAAAGTGAGCACTTAAAGAGCAGTAGGAATTCTAAAAAATATATGCTGATTTACTTTGGATACATAAATGATAGTATAACAATCATATGTCTCCAGCATCATATTTTGTCCATAATAAAGCCATGATTTATCCAAAGTTTGTTCATGAAATTTATTTATTTATTTATTTATCTATCAAATTTATATCACCGCCCAACGCCCCCACAAGGAGGGACTGGGCGGACTCACAACAAAACAATTTAAAATCAGTAAAAACATAAATAATACAAATATAAAATGCAATTATGAA